GCCCGGCCGGGGCTGCGGCCGCCACATCCCGGTTCCCCCCGCTCCGCTCCACCTCCCTCCCCCTTCAACCCCCCCACTTTTCCACTTCTCACCGGAGCGGAAAGCGGCGGCGGCGGCGCCGGCCACTCCCAGCCGGGGGCGGGCCGCAGGCAGCTCCGCCGCCCCGGGGAAGGGAGAGAGCCGCCGGGCGGGCCCGGCTTTGGAGGGTGTTGAGGGGCGGGAGGAAGGGGTGTCCTCCACGACAAGGCCCGTGGAGTTGTTCTAAGGCTCCCCGGCTTCTTGTTCCCCAAGGTCTGCAGGACGCCGGCGTGAAGTTAGGAAGGAAGACAAGCCTGCTCTCCGTCTGCATCGTAGAATCGTCTGGGTTGGAAGGGACCTTTGAGACCATCGAGTCCAATCATCAACCTAAAAGTGGCAAAGCCCATCACTAAACCATCTACATCTGCCCATATTTTGAATACGTCCAGGGATGAGGATTCCATCACTTCCCTGGGCAGCCTGTTCCAACTCTTCATAACCCTTTCAGTGCAAAAAAATTTCCTAATACCTAATCTAAACCTCCCCTGGCACAACTTGAGGCTGTCTCCTCTTGTCCTATCGCTTGTTTTTTGGGAGAAGAGACCAACCCCCACCTCACTACAACCTCATTTCAGGTAGTTATTAGAGAGCGATAAGGTCTCCCCTCAGCCTCCTTTTCTCCAGGCTAAACAACCCTGGTTCCCTCAGCTGCTACTCATAAAACTTGTTCTCCAGACCCCTCACCAGCTTTGTTGCCCATCTCCAAACTCCCTCCAGAACCTTAGTATCTTTTCTGTAGTGAGGGGGCCAAACCTGAAAGGACCAGCACACCAGAAAAAGCTGCCTCTGCCACACATGCAGAGCTCTGCCAGCCTCCCTCCCACACGTCCTGGGGAGCTGCAGTCCCAGCATCATGGGGATACGGCTATGCCAAATACACATATCAAATAACACCATTGAGAAATTACTCATTTTCAAATGTAGCCATACAGTGTGTTGCTTGGGTCTTCCAGCCATGATGGTGACTGCTCACGGGCCCTTCTCTGGCACAGCCTTATGTGTCAGATACTTGCTGGATTCAGCAAGGCATGCATACAATTAGATAGTATGGTATTCGTTGGCTTTCTGTAGCTTAAATGTGGAATCAATCTCTACTCTGCATGTATGTTTATTGCTTTTGTACAGCTTCACATCTCTTGGTGGGAAACACAGCTTTTCCATTTTGTTGCAAGGTGCTATCGTTTATATATATGTATGGGGTTTGGCTGGGATAGAGGCAATTTGCTTCATAGCAGCTAATGTGGTGCTGCATTTTGGCTATGTGGCCAAGACAGTGCTGATAACACAGGGATGTTTTAGTTACTGCTGAGCAGTGTGTGCACAGGGTCAGGGCCTTTTCTGCTTCTCGCGCTGGCCCAGAAGCAAGTAGGCTGGGGATGCCGAAGTTGGGAGGGGATACAGCTGGGACATCTGAGTCCAGCCAACCGAAGGGATATCCCAGACCATATGACATTGTGCACAGCAGTAAAGGTCAGGGAAAAGAAGGAGAAAGGGAGGAGGTTCAAAAATACTGCATTTGTCTTCCCAAGTAACCATTACGCGTGAGGAAGCCCTGCTTTCCTGGAAATGGCGAAACATCTGCCTGTTGATGAGAAGTAGTGAATGAATTCCTCATTTCGCTTTTCTTGCACACTCAGCTTTTGCTTTCCCTCTTAAAGTGTCTTTATCTCAATCCATGAGTTTTCTGATTTTTACCCCATCCCCCTGGGGGGGAAGGACTGAGCGGCTGTGTGGGGCTCAGCTGCCCGCTGGGTTAACACACAACAATATACAGAAAATAATTTCTAGTCCTTTTTCCAAGATTTTTCTGAGGCTGTCCTCTTGAAGTTCACTGCAACAACACTAATTTCTGCTGAAATTTCTTCTCCTGCTTCGTTCTGTAGATAAACCTAGTCCCCCATGATTTCCCATGTATCTTCTTCCTAGTTAACACGTGTATCACCTGGTACTTCACACTATCCCTAGTCTGAAACACACTAGAGCATTTCTCTACCGACAGCCAGTTTTATTTCTACTGATACCCACAGGTAGGAGCTTTATATAAACTTATATCTCTCCACTGAATACAGCTTTGTATCAACTTTGCTGAAGTAGTACCTGCTTCTGTCATGGATCATCATATCCACTATATTACCCATGTACACGGAATCAGCACTTTTCAAGATGACCTCTGTGCATCCTAGTCTTCAAAAATGCTTCACTCTATCGGATACAGCAAATGCTATTATAAGTGTAAAATATCATCCTGTGCACTGGGAAGTTTTCACAACATTCAGAAAAGCTGCTTAAAAAAAAGCCCAGGTTTATCTAACAACTGACAGCTTACTGATGTTCCCAGGTTTCAGTTCATTTATTAAGACATGCAGGACACGCTAAAGGAGTTTTGACCTCATGTTCCAGTCCGTGCCCTTCCTGACTTGCAAGAGAAGATAGCAGGCAGCTGTGCCTCGCGCTCCAAAAATAGCCACACATCCTTCTTCCTTCAGCCCTGCTGCTGTGCGTCTGATTCAGACGATGTCAGTGCTAGCTCCCATCACTCAGAGAGAGATGTGTTATCAAAGGGCAGCTGTGGTGGTGCAGACAAAGGGCCCGTCCAGCGCAGCCTGGCCTCCAACTCCAGCCTCAGCAAGAGCAGGAACAAGGCAGCACACACACCACTTCCCCTTTGGACTCTCCCACCCTCTGCCCAAGGGGCTTCCTCAGCTCAGTTTGGTTTTTGAGTCAGTAACCAGCAGTGGATCTCACGCTCTCCACGTGCTTGCCCGGCCTCCCCTCGAGCCCACTTCAGCTTTTGGCACACACGGCATCCATGGGTGAGGTGTTCCCCAGGTCTCCATCCACTGCACAAGGCACCAGCTCCTGGTGCTTGCTCTGAACCTGGCTACGGCCAGCTGCCTTTGAGAGCTGCCAGATTTTTATGCTTGAAGAAACAGAGATTTTCGCCTATGTGTCCATGCTTCTGATGATTTCCGTATGTGTTATCACATGATGTGATCCCTTTTCCAAACTGCACATTGCTAATCTGTTTAGACTGGCCTTGTGCAGAAGCTGCTCCAAAGCTTTATATTTTTTGCCCCTCTCTATTTCTGCTTTTTGGGAAGAGAGGGCCAAGTAAGGGTGCAGGTTAGCTATGGATTTCTGCAGTGGTGTCATCTTCATGTTTCCTGTTGTGTTCTTTACCATAGTCTGTAACACTGGATTTGTTTTTCCGACTGCTGCCACACACTTAGTAACTGATCCCCCAGTTTCCTTCTCATCAGCAGTGACCATCTCAGAGCTTTTAAGCTTATATGAAAGGCTAGGGTTGTTCTTACCAGTAGGTAATGATTCAGTTTCTACACAGTGAATTTATTCTGTTGTTTGATTAAGTCATTCAGCCTCATAAGGTCTTTCTGCAGCTCTTTGCAGCCAGCCCTTGTTCTTGCTACCTCAAATAACTTGGTGTAATCAGCAGACTTGCTTCAAGTGCTTTTATGGTGAACAACAGAGGTTCTGGAGACGCTAATCAGTCCAAAGCTACCAAAAGGTAACTATTCTCTAAACTAATATTCAAAAGAAGCATGGCATAATCTGTACTGACAAAGAAGCCCTGTTAATGGGTTGTTTGTCTTTGCTCTGATTCTACTACAAGAATTAAACTTTATCCCAACCTTCAACCCTTCTGCTTCAGGTGGCTTTGCCTTACCTCATGTTTACTCACATCAATGTGTACGTTTAACAGAAAAGTCCCACCACAACAGAATACTCAGCAGACTGTAATGCATTGCCCTGTTAGATCATCAGCAGTATGTGTGAATATATGTATGTGTGTGTGAATATATATATATATGTATATTGAACATGGCAATCTGTTCCTTTATCAAGAGAGGAGCTGCTTTTGGACCATCACCCTCATTTGATTGCCAGACCATTGGAAAGGATTTGGAGGGAGATGGTGTATAGTTTCTACAGAGGACTTTAAGCATACCTGGAGAAAAAGGTGCAGGAAGCAGATAGACTTTTGATGCAAAAACTAGTAGGTGAGAATAGAATTCTTGGGTTTTAATGCTGTTTGAATTGTGCCCTTCTAATGCATCTGATCCAAATGACTCAGTGAGACATCCAGAGCTTACAAAGAATTCTACCCACCTACCGTTTCCCTTAATGCACTTTTGGGCAGTACTTAGGTGTTTGGAGTGAGATGGATAAAGTAAGAAATTACACAGGAGAACATGCTTAACAGCAGATATGATATAGCTATCCTCTATTTTAGATTAGGCAAGAGGGAGTTGGAGTGTTTTGCTATTTCTTAATTTCCAGTTTTCATTTTGATGGCATATACAGACACAGCTGCCAAAAGAAATGGTCCGCCTGCTCCCTCAACTTTTTCTCCAATTGTGCCTTCCTTCCCTTCCCCCATGCTACTGCCTGCTTTGTGCTGGCAAGAGCGTTTCTCTGGCTCTACAGTAAACTGGGAACAGATGTGGATTTAAACCTTTCTTTTTTTTTTTTCACCAAAAGCCTCTCTCCAGTCGAAAGTGACTGTGAAACTACAGCATTACATGCTGCATCAGAAATCCCACCAAATTTTAACAATCCCTTCTCTGTACTGATGGCAGTGCTGCTGCCTCTTTCCTCCTCAAATGACTTCCTGAGCCCTCGTGCCAGCTGAGAATTGCCCCCTCTGTTTTCCACTCCTCATCTCAGCCTCTCTGCTTCTCATTGTCTACACATGGCTGCTTCTTTGTGTGGTACCTTGCTTCTAATTGACATCAGTGTATGAGAGCTCCCCCTGCACCTGCTGCCACCATGAACAGATTTCCTGTAGCTCTGTCTCTTATGACCTCAGGTTCGTCTCACAGCTCAGCTGCAAGCTCTGCTTTTCTTCTTCTTGCATTCATCTTTGTTTTTTACTCCCTATCCCATCACTGCTGCACCAGAGACCTTTTCTATTTCAGTAGTAAATAACGTATTCACCAAAACATGCTGCAGAAGGGAAGCCAACTCTACTTGCAAATTCAAGTCAAATTCAGAAGGAAAAAAAAAAAAAGGTTTTGCCTAGCATAAAAATG